TCGGCCTCGGCGAATGTCGGCACGTCGGCCGTCACCCCGGCATCCCTCGGCCGCGCGCTCTCTTGACAAAAGTCGATCCTGTAAACTTCGGACTTTTCAACCCTAACACTCTGCCCAGTAGTTCAATTGAGCAATCTGCCGAATCCGGATAATTCTATTTGGCAACCTCCGATGCCAAAGCGGAGTGCAAAATAGAAGTCCGGTGATTTGTAAGATAACATCAGCTGGCGGCTGATGGCGGGCGTGGCGGAAGGCGGCGGGATGTGTATGGGGTGCTCCCTGGTGCATAAATAAATCTGAGAAAATATAAGAGTCAGAATGGCATACATGCGGTCATCAGGGTTTTTTTGGAGAACTCCGGATTTTTCTGCGTCAATTCGGCATCAAAGACCTCTAAAACCCCAACAAAGGCAAGAGCATTCGGGGGAAAAGATGAGGAGTGAATAAAGGTGGGTAACTATAGGTGTGTCCTTGCACAGAGAGATCCGATTTTATTGGAGGTGCTGAAAAAGGGGGTCAAGCATCTGATCTATCTTATCAGTTCGAAGGGGGTTGCCATATAGATTTTTTCTATTTGGCAACCGGGGTATTGCGGCAACTGGGGTTGCTAAATAGAATTATCTGCCGAATCCGCGGGTGCAACATTGCCATCATATATCAATTTCGCGTGCGCTGAGATCCAAGTTAAAGTACTTACCTGCTTGTCTGTGGCATCCTGGTTATGTGCACCTGGCGCTTTTTTGAGTCTAGTATATTTTAGTAAGCATCTTCGGATTGTACTGAACACATCTTTGCCACAGGCGCAAGACCCGGAGTGCCCATGCCCAACCGAAACCAAATTCCCGACGGTGTATTAGTTGCCTGGAAGGGAAGTAAAAGCCGATTCGGGAGCATTCGCCATAGGAAAAATAATTGAACAGCGGGATGCGCAAGATTTGCCAGGTCTCAGATCAGTAATGTGCTCATGTCCGTCTGTCCTTTTCACGTCTTATGTCCGTCTGTGAGTCTAACAATAACACCATCATACCAAGCTGATTTTCTGTCTTCGAACTGAAGGTAAAATAAAAAGTCTCACCATTGTCATTTTCTCCAGTATCCAGATCCGCGGTTCGAACCAAATTTTGGGAGATTTTGGGGATATTGAAACGCTCACACTTGAGGCACCGCCGCTGATCGGAAGCTTCCGTCCTCTGAACCCAATATGAACTGTCCTTTGAAACACTTTCAAAGCAATCTCAAGATTATATGCCGCGTGTGGCGCGAGGAGCGACGAGCGGCTAAAGGCGGCACATCACCCCATTGAATTGAATTGAACCATTTGACTGCCATACAAACCATCCTTTAAAACACTTTCACCACCTTTACTCAAAGCAATATCGAGATCATATACCGTGTATGCCGCGAGGAGCGACCGAAGGTCGGCGACGAGCGGCTAAGGGCTGCACACCATCCACCCCGAAACGGCTACGCATATTACTGTATCTTCAAAACTCAGCTCACTTCAAGAGAGGGACCAGGGCTGCCCGGAGGGCCTTATGTATTAATCATTGGCTGGAATTGAGAAACCTCCGGAGAAGCACAATATACCTAGTCTGCCGTAGACAATGCTCGTACCTCACGTGCTGTACAATATGCATCCAAATTATTTAATGCTCCACCATCACTGGCAACCAATTGAGAACGAAGAATTTTACTGTCGGTTTGACCTTGTGGTTCGAGCGAGGCAGGTGCACATACTCTACTTAGGCAGATGTAGGACTCACTGTGGGCTGAAAAACCTCCCTGAAAGACGTTGAACCAAGTAGCAAAATCTTGGACTTATTTACTTTGATGCAGCGGCATGGATAATATTTGTAACTTGGGCATGATATAGGCCTTGATATAGGCTGTAGATACCAAAGACCACGATTTCACTAAATTCAACGAGGAAAAGATGCAGGTGTAGGTCAACCTGTCCCAAGGATGAGCAGTTAAAGGAAGAAGTGTCCGCCTTCCTGTACCGGACAGAGTTCAGCTTTCTTTAGCCTATGAATTAGCGAAATATATCAACCAAAGATGTCTGAGGCATGAAACCGGAGGCATAGGAATTGGAGAAATATGGTTTAACCCCTGAAAGCGCAACATAGATGAAACCAGGCAAGAGATATGAGTGTAATGCACACAAAAAGAAACCTGGATGGCAAGCACACTGTGCTGCTTGATGGGAAGTACTAACTCACCCTGCAGATTGGGATTACATGGTTCTTGAGCGGACGATACAGTGGGATTGAATTTAAAGTACGAAAACCAAATAACGAATGTTGCGGACCGAATTAACCTAAATGTTTAGTTCACTACTGCAAGGTTTAACAAAAGTGAATATCAGGAACCTCTATGAGTTGCATAGGCAGAGAGTAGGGTGGATAAACTTTACTTAGTGTGTGTACTAAATCGGAGCTAGATTATAATTAGCTGTAGAATGCAGATGGACAATGGTACTTACTCATTTTCGTGGCTCGCTCATTTTTCAACCCAGTGAGCATCCCGGTCTGATGCCCGTTCGATTGAGATTTAACATTGATTCAACGGTCACCGGTCAGGGCCAAGATCCTTGGACTGTAGGTAATACTTCAGTATCTCAACTGTTGTCAATTGGCGTTCATCGATTCAAAAAAACCAACTTCGCGGAATTTCATTTGTGCTGGTGTTGATTCAATAGTGATACCACGGAACGCGGAAGGAAAACAGAAAAACGTAGCTATGCATACAACATATCTGGAGCACTGTGGGGTGTGATTACTCACCACTGTGGAGATTACCTAGGCCCCGCAAGATCGCCCGCGCGCGTGCCACGACCGGTGAAACATTAGCCGCCGCTTTTACATACACCGAAAATGTCCTCTTAACTTAGATAGGAGCACTTGGGCACTGTAACTACGCATGCCGGTGTGGTTCCGAAGCATTTGTTGTAGGATCTGGCAGTCCAGCGTAATAGAGATCGAATATCTGGCAACCAATAACAGCCTCCAGAAGTTCCGGTTTCTCTGGGTTCAAAACGTTGTGCATGCCGTTAGCCAGGCGCGTCTGGTGGCTCTGGTGGATTTCCACGCGTGGGGCGCTGACTCTAGCGATGTAACGAAGCGTGTGAGCCACCTTGTAAGGGACGAAATTGGGATGACAGCCCTCGAGGAACTCTGCCATGAGCGCAATTTTTTGCCTCGAGATGGCGCTGGTTTAAACGAGTTCTCAAGCTCTCTTCATTCGTAAGTTTGGCGCCGAGTAATTCAGGGGATAAGATAGCGGCTGTGTCCGTCGGGAAAAGCCAATGTCCTAAGTGGGAGTTCGCAATCGGGGGTATGGTGAGGCTGTCGAGAATGTCGGTTTTGATCATAGCGATGACGGAGAACGTCAAGGGTGACTCGAGAGTAGACTCGAATAGGGCTGTGCTAATAGGCTGCGATGGTAAGAGCGAAGAAACACGCCAAAGGGAAGCCAACACCTCATCGATTCGCACTCGTGCCAGCTTCCAAGTCCGCGGATTCGTGCGACTTTGGAAACAGTTATAGGGAAAGTAGTCCATAGTTTGGGTGTGTAAGTCAATATGCACTCTAAATGGCCTCATCTGAACTCCGGGTTTTCAAGCAAAGGACGGGAGAAGCGGGTAGAAGTGTTGGTTCGCAAGTCTGGTTTGGTCTCCAGAAGGAAAAGAGCATTCGGATAACATGTCGACCCAGTCGTCGGCCGTCGAATCGTCAGACTTGTGCAGATTATCTTATACAACCGTCTAGAGTGCCTTTTCCAAATCGTCCTTCAACACAGGGAATGGAACCGAAGGTTGAAGCCGAATTGCGTCCCGGGTCTCGTGCCATCGGTAGGGCGGCAATTTCAACGCAGCCGATTGAGTGAGGTAGGGAGTTCTGATTAGGTGAGGACTGGAGGTACGGAAGCGAAAAGAGACAGAACGCACCATCTCCACATCGCCGCACGCGGCGTCCCGATCCCAGTCGCAGAACGGGGCACTGAAGGCGGGGGGATGACGAGCGCCGGAGCGAAGGTGTCTCTAGCCGCAGCTCCTGCACGGTATCAGTATGTAGATATGCGGGTGATGCGGATAAGGGTAACGAATAAGTAGATGCGGGGAAGGCGGCGATAAGAAAATGTGGGGATAAAGGATACAGACGCAAGGGAATGTGGCGCGAAAAATTGCGAGACCTGAGACAGGGAGAGGGGGGTAGGGGAGACGCAGACGCAGACGCACCTCGAAGCCGGTGCTTTCGAACCCGGGGATGACGGTGATGCTCTGGAAGACCTCGCCCTCGGGCGTGCTCCCCAGCCGCCCCTCCGTCATCGTGCTCGCACTCGTACTCGCACTCACACTCGCGTTCTCTACCTCGACCTCCATCGCGAGCAGCGCGCGCGGCGCCCGCAGGGCCGACACCACCCGCGCAACGCGGCGCGCCGGCGCCGTCGCGGGCGGCAGCGCGCGCTGCATGCGCTGGAGCGTCGACACGTACCCGTCGTCGCTCCCGCTCTCGTTGCCCGAGTCGCAGTCGAACGCGAGATGCTCGAGGTCGAGCGTGCTGAGGTCGAAGATCGCCGCGCGTGGGGGGGAGGGGCTTCCCGGCGGCGGCGTGGTCGAAGTCAAAGTCGAGCATGAGGGGGTGGGGGGCGTCGCGGGGGGTGCAGTAGTGGTCGAGTATGGTGGGTGTGGGTGTGTGCAGGGCGCATGTGCACGAGAGCCGGTGTCCGGGACTTTACAACAGGGCCATTGCGGTAAAGTTTTTGGCTGTGGGTGCGGGAGACAGCCTAGCGGTGTACGGTCACGCGATCAGAGTCCAGGCCAACAGACGCGCGTTCACCCGCTAACCACTGCCCATTAATTCACCAGAACAAATACTTCAACTTTTTACATGTAAACGTCCCAAAAAATTATGAATTCAGCTTCCAATACCGACTCCCTTTAGAAAATCTGCCGTCGCAAATATGGGAAAAAGAATATTAATGTGACCCTGCGTGCCCCATGGCTCGGACCCGAATCGAACGGGTGAATTCCGCGGAACAATCCAATTCTGCAACAGAGCTATACTACGCAGACGCGGACCATCCGCCACCGAGCCTTTCCTACCGTCCTCTGATTCGAAATAGGTACACAAGTTTCGGTGACAAAAATTCTAACCACATTTGGTACTTAACTTCATTACCTTGCTTGCAAGGTCTCTCCACCCTCATAATTGGACCGCATTTTGCCCCACCCATTGATCCTAGCTCTCCCGAGCCAATCATACAACTTTGCTATTCTCGTTTACATACGGTGGGTAAATTCGCGGGTGTTACACAATTGTTACGCATGGCCGACTGTTCGGTGCCCACGCGCGTCGCGCAGCAACCTGCAGGACCAACACAGTTGATCAAGAGCGCAAGCAGAAACTGGAAAGACACCAAGTTACACTTATTTTTGTCAAGCAAGGTCTCTTCCGACGTAGTCGGAGCTCTCTAGTTCAACCACTTGGTTCAATACCTAAATCCTCGGCGCTCCTGGAAAATACTCAACCACGTCCTTGTAATAGCCCTTTCTGGAAATCAACAGTCGGTAAAAAAGGGGGCGAATGCAGTGGAATATGCATGGCTCAGGCCCGAATCGAACGAGCGAGTTCTGCCGCATTCATGACTCCGAATGAAACTGCAGACACAGACCATCCGCCACCGAGCCTTCTTACCCTTCCTGGGCTCGCAATAGGTAGGCAAGTTTCCCGAAAAAATATCAACCACACTTGAATAGGGTCATTTCAACGGCTTAGTTCAATTCCCTGCAATCATCATCCTGAAGAACCCTGCACTTTCAATAGCTAACTCCTGTTGAAAAACTGGCCCTTCCATCGTAGCAAACAGCAAACAGCACATTCCAATACACCATGGCTCGGGCCCGAATCGAACGGGTGAATTCTGCCGAACGGTTCATGAACGTTCACCAGGCCAATCTGCGCAGAGGTGGACCATCCGCCACCGAGCCTTTCTTACCCTTTTCTTACTCGAAATATGTGCGCAAGTTTCTAGAGCAAAGAAAAATCCAACCAACTGTCCGTGAAATTCATTCGACCTCCACATCCTCGCGACTCCTCAAAAATTGCCCAACCGCACTCTTCCAATTCCACTTTCTTGGAAAATCGGGTGTACAATATGGCAAGAAGGAAAACTTTACACAACATTCTATACGGCTCGGGCTGGAATCGAACAGGCAAGGTCTGCTAGATTCACACGTAATCGACAAACACAGTGCAGACGCGGACCACCCGCCACCGAGCCTTTTACCCTTCTTCTGACGCGAAACATGTAAGCAAGTTCCTGCTATAATTCAATCACATTCGCTTGATCTCATGCAACCCCTTGGTTCAATACATGAATCCTCGGCGCCCCTCATAACCACTCAACCACGGCTTCCCAATTTCACTTCCCGTTGAAAAATCAGTGGTCCAGCGTGGCAAGGACTTGGAGAAAAAACCACACTCCTCCGGACTGAACTACTGGACCGTTCAAGATGGATGGTGGAGTACAGCGTTGAGATCTGAGGCCTTGGGGAGACACGAGTGATAGATCGGAACCAACAAAAAATGTCCGCACACTGGTATGGCTCGGGCCCGAATCGAACAGGCGATTTCTGCTGAACACCTCACCAACCAATATTAATATTGTGCAGACGCGGACCACCCGCGACCGAGCCTTTCTTAGCCTTCTCTTACTCGAAATAGGTTGCTAAGTTCCTGGGCCAAATATCAACCACATTTGCTTGACCTCATTCAACCCTTCGGTTCGTTTTCCCACATTCTGAAGGCTCCTCGCCACCCAACCACGACCTCCCAACCACGACCTCTAAATTGCACTTCCTTCGAAAACCGACCCGTCCATCGTACCAGGAAGAAAAAATGCCATCCAAGTGCACAGTGGCTCGGGCCCGAATCGAACGAGCGAATTCTGCTGAACGGTTCGTGAACGCTCACTAGGCTAATCTGCGCAGATGCAGACCATCCTCTACCAAGTCTTTCTTACCTAGCTCTAGGTCTCACTCGAAATAGGTGGGCGGGGAAACGTTTGCGAGGTAGTGGGGCGAACTTGAGACGAACCAAAAATTCCAAATTGATCTCCAGTAAACTTCAACTCTTCCGCGAGGCACCTCTCAAGACTGAACTAATGGACCATGTATGCTAAAAGGTGGATACAGTGTTCAGATGGGGAGAAACGAGTGGTGCATCGGAACCAACCATACCAAGACACCACACATGGCTCAGGCCCTTAGACTCGAATGAGCCAGTTCTGCTGCCCAATTTATATTCCCGGAAGAATGCAGTGCAGACGCGGACCATCCGCTACCAAGCCTTTCCTGCCCTCTTCAAAGTATGCATGTAAGTTTCTGTAGTAAGAGGAAACCATGTTATGTATGTGCTTGTGACGTCGAGATATAGTATATATAGATGGATGTACTGTAAACGAGGGTAGAGATGATAGCAATACAGGAAAATCTACCAAGATAATTATTGTAAGTGACAGTTAATCAAGGGACAGCACCAGTATCCTGGTGCACTCCCAAGGAGAAGCTCGAATTGTCCGCCTTCGAAGACGTGCCAAGCGCCCCGCTTGTGTTGCCCGTGAAATCGGAACCATCACCATCGCTCTCCGACAGGGCGGAGCCCGTCATCTGGTTGTGCTCCGTGGAGAAATGCACGACGCTGAACGGGATAGTGAGGTTCCTGGTCGGCCCAACATTGAGTGTCGGCAAGGAGAGCTCCCTACTTCCGCGCGTGATACCAAGCTTCGTGTTGCGGTAGACGCGGCAGGCCATAATGCTGCTCAGCGTCACGCTCGGGACGACCAGAAACCCGTGGTACACGGGGCTGGCCGTTGGGATGTAGAGAAGCAGCGTCGAGACAACGTTAGTGACTACGGTAATCCTGGGGAGCAGAGCGCAAGGATCAGCGTCGCCGCCGGATGAGGTACTTGACAACACACATGTAATACATTTGCCCGTCTGTAAAAAGCGCCTTCGAGAATACCGGCAGATGGGCGCCGCTGAACATCATCTTCAACTGCGCGCTCCAAGTCTGCTCTCCCAAGTCTGCTCCTGCGTCCCGAAATTGGACACGAGCCTATACGAAATCGCAAAGAAAACGAGCGTGTCATGTACCGTTAAAATGATCCCCGACGCCCCAACGTAAACCTCCACACGCGTGACGATGCATTTTGAGGGGTCCCCTAATTTGACAGCGGTCCCGCCGAATAGGATAGTTAGGGAAGACCCGAGTACTGCGAGCCATAGAAATCCGAATATTGCGGTGACGATGCGATCGCCTCCGTATATGGCGCGCACACGGAAGAAGAAGAGGAAGGCAGACGCAGAGACGCCGACTGGGTAAAACACGGTGAACGCGACGTAGGCGGTATTGCACGCCTGGAGCGGATATGCTAGATCGCAACATATTAGCTTGCCCTGGACGGTGATGGTACATGCTCACACGAGAATATTGTGAATCCGAGGACGTACATCAAGGATCCAATTCTGTTTCTTGTGTTAGCGGACGCAGATATTGCATGATGCATTGTGTTTTTACCTAGACACCACATACGCCAAGCACGCCACGTGGGAACTTTGCTTGAAGAGCAACGCATAATCGCTTCGCAGGTTATTTAAAATGTCCCAAATGAAAACCTACGCGACCGTCTGGTCAAAATGGACGAACCAAAAAGACGTAAAGGACAACACACCCCAGTGCAGCCGGCGAAGATGTACACCGAAAACTCGACTTGCCTCTGGAGGGCGGGAGGGAGTCCCTCAGCTCCCGAGGACTGGGACATGCGCGCAACAGAGAAGGAAGGAACGGAGGTCGGTCTGTTGTTGCGAGTTGTTCTTGTTGCCCTTGCTGAGACCGGGAAGGGGGTGCCTGGGGTGCATACGCTGTCGCGCCCTGTCGGCAAACGGCACACACAGATTGCCTAGAATGTACAAGTTAGTAATGTGCACAAGCCCCGCAGTTTGCATCAGGAAAATCCGAAATGCTATGATAGACACAAGACCAGCTATTTGGAGCTATATATGTCTTTGACCGACTATGGCGGTCTATGAGGAAGTATTGAATTGCTATATGTGTCTATGAGGAAGTATTAAATTGCTATATGTGTCTATGTGATGCTATCATTATCTATAAAATTTTGGCCTGTCTTTGAATGACTATAAGCATCTACATCGTGAAATTATTAAATTTAGAGTGAATTCATGTAAAGAAATTCTACCACATCAACTGGTATGAGTAGAGATTTGCCCAGTTATTAAGGAGGAAACTGCTACACTCACCTAAAACATTATCAGAGGTCCATTGCAGATTCATATCTGCCCACCCAAAGTTGGGAAACAGCTGACATATCTGAGGAATGTCAGACAAATAGATAACAGACCCTCTCAAATTGCCATCCGCTCGAGGCGGAGGTTTGGAGATGGCAAACATGTTGTGGTTAGGTTCGTGAGAGGGCCTGAACGAGGAGAACCACTCCACCTGCCCACACGGCCAGGGGATATGGAGCCCACAAGTGACTTTAGAAAGAACTCCATAGTGTAGAGGTTATATTACTCTAGTTTAAAATTTGTAGTCATGACAAGGTCGTGGGTTCGATCCCCTGTAAAATCATTTATTTGCTTAGACCTTACCTCCAATGCCACAACCAGTCATCTAATCAGTCATTATCCTATAAGACCGATCTTATCAAACACCTTTACTTACGAGCTTTGGGGTCTCTGTGAGTGAGGCTATCGGATGACCACGGAAGTGGTCATCTGACAGCCAAGACTCGGGTGGTGGGTGGGCTGAAAAATGCGAGAGTGGCGGCGGGTAGACTCGCAACCAATCGCGTTTAGTCAGCGCCTTTGATCACGAGACAAGCAAGGGATCAAAAGCTTCCTAAAACGACTGGGATATTTGGTAAGGCTTAGTGATGCCGCGAGGTCGAGCTAAATCGAGCTGATTACCAGCTCGCCTCGGACCATTACCATATACGGCAGCTCGAGGTGATGCCAACTCACCTCGGCTCGAGCTGCCTCGAGCTCGGCAAGTCTTCGGCAAATGTATTTCCTAAAACGGCCCATACAGTCTCGCAAGATGTTAGCCTCGTACAGGCACTCATCGGCCATGAAGCATGAATCAAAATGAGCAAATATTCTCTAAACAGCATGGCTTGTGAGGAAAATCAAAAAAATCAATGACAATCGGTCTAATAGGAGGTCATACAACCACGTCAAGTTAGGTATCCGATCGGCAACAGTGAGAGGCTACCTGAAACGAAATAAATAGGGTGGAACTCACAGTAACATTCTGAATATTACTTGCTTTTAATTAGATCAGTATCTGTAGGTACGCAAGAGCGTTTTAGTGCAAGAACGAACAAGCAAGTCGTTTCGTGCAAAATCCATTTCTCGTTCAGTTCTTTATATATTTTGACCGGGGAAAAATGTCAAAACCAACTACAATTCATTACTAAATGAATGTATAGCCCTAACCTGCACATATAATCATTTAGACCCTCGTCAATGAGGATTCATGAGCGTGGGACTTCGACTTGCCATTTATGGATGTCACCTCGGTTCAGCTCGGAGGTACCTCGAGCGCCACCAAGATTGATGGCCCATCACCTCGACCTCCCTCGAACTCAGCTCGCGGCATCACTAGTAAGGCTTTTGGCAGGACCCGCCAAATCAGTGTTTGGACTTAGAAAAACTTTCGCCGTCTACCTCGAAAAAAAGTGTTAAAACTTCCTCAATGAAAGTTATATATTTTTTGATTTCAAGTTGATTGAGAATAACTTTTTTTTTTGGCTCTGGGTGAGCATTTTCGGGGTGCGATTGGACCTGAATGGAGGGAACGGTGCCAGATACAAATTCCCCGGTTCCTAAACACATGTATGTAACTATATTTAGTAGCTATCATAGTAATCTAGGTCATTTACATCGTCTACGATAAAGCCCTCAGAATGAAGATGTCCGTACAAGTCCTCGGGGTCAGCCGCAAGTCCAAATCCATTGTCGCCTCCATCCATATCAAGTGCTATGTCGTCGGCATTGTTCCGCGTCAAGGTCGGTTCATCGGCCTGATCCATAAGGTGTTCAAAAGCGGTAAGAGCTTCCCCTTCGAAGTCAAGAGCAGCAAGACCCCCAAACTCAGAGTCGGAGCTCTCGTCGCTTCCACTATCGGAAGAATCCTCGGCATTGTGCATCTCCGCATCATCACAGGGGGACGTCGTCGGCGCCGAAGGTGGGGACACTGATGTGATAGGTGCAGGAGGAGGTGTCGATGTGGTGGGTGAAGGCAAAACATCTTCAGCCGAGTCGGACCAACTCGAGACCAACGGCTGAAGACGGCGCCGAGCCTGGAGCTTCTGAAACGCCGCATTGTATTCGGTAAGGGGATTGGAGGTGCTGTCCGTGAGTTGCTGGATTCCGACTGAAATTACATCGGGAGTCGGAGCACCGTCTCCATCCGCAAACACACGGCCCTTGACTTTGTACACATCGTGCTCGGACAGGCTGTCCATAAGGAGCTCGATATCCGTAGTGAGGTCGGCCGGGGCATGCTTGGTGCCCTGATCAGACCCGAGGATATTCACGATTGAAGTGGAAAGGTGACGGAGGGCGGTTATACAGGGAGCTACCATGCCGAGCCAGTCCCAGGAAGCCGCGCTGCC